TGATGGTTTGCTAGCAATCCTTGGCGTTTCTTGGATTCAGCTACAGTACTTCAGTCTCTCTCTCTTTGTCATATGGCATTCTTCCCTCATGGGTCTGTTTTCTTCTTTTAAGAATTCTGGGGGCTGGCCCCGTGGTGTAGCAGTTAAGTGCACGCGCTCCGCTGCTGGCGGCCTGGGTTCGGATCCTGGGCATGCACCGATGCACCGCTTGTCAAGCCATGCTGTGGTGGTGTCCCACATAAAGTGAAGGAAGATAGGCATGGACATTAGCTCAGGGCCCGTCTTGTTCAGCAAAAAGAGGAGGATTGGCATGGATGTTCGCTCAGGGCTGATCTTCCTCACAAAAAAAAAAAAAAAAAAAAGATTTCCAGTCATATTGGATTAAGGGCCCACCCTACTCCAATATGACCTCATCTTAATTTGTATCTTAATTATATCTACAAAGACCCTATTTCTAAATTAGGTCACATTCACAGGTACAAGGGATTAGAACTTAAACATATCTCTTTGGGGGATACAGTTCAACCCACAGAGATAGGTACTAGGTCATGTGGCTTATTAATAGCAAACTTACAGGATAAAATTTGGCAAGGGACTGAAGAGCTCCTCATGTTTATTTTAAAAAGATCACTGGATGCATTGTGATAACTTTTAAAAGAATAGAAAAACCTGATTTGGGGAGAAGGTAATTTACATGGTAAATTGATAACAAAGTAGCAGTCATAATCTTTAGATTTTAAAACTTCTATCAAGCAGTTTTTGTAAGGTATTCTGTACTAAATATTACATTTTAAAAAACTTAGTAGGGGTTACATAGGCCCTAACAGTATCTATAGAATTTGTATATTTGATAGTTTTTTGGTTTATCATATAAAGGGATGTTTTACATATGCCACATTTTTATAAGTATTATTAAATATTGATATAGGCACAAGATTGACACCTGCTTTATATTTACAACATTCTTGGAGATATGGTCTGATCTGGAATATACCTTAATTATAGTACTAATCATTAGATTTCATAGAAAGTCCTAGAATAACGAATATAGACATGGGCTGTCCAAGGTCTGGTCAAGACCAGTTAGGTACTATCCTTGTCCTTTAGGAGGCAATTAAAAATCAATGAAGTAACAGGAAAGAAATTCTATTGTATATCAACCAGTTCCTCACCTACAGAAACCCATGTTCATCCCTCCTGCTCCCAGCATCCCTCCCACCCATACCATATACTGCCCCCCGCCACACGCACATTTATTTCACTGTGAAAAAGACTCATACCATATGATCATGTATAGAATAATTGGAAAGTATCAACAATTTAAGAACTGTCCCCAGAAACAAATTCCTAGGTAGGGGGAAAAAAATCTCTCGATAAAGGAAGTGAGATAGGGATAGTGCTGAGCCATAAAACCATGTTTATCAAGAGAGAGTGTGAGTTCAAAACAGAAGCACTCATGTGGAAGGAAAGCAGTACGAAGAAGAAACATACCTGCAATCTGATGGCTGTGTTTTGATTTGGAAGTGGGGGAGGGGGTGGTGAACTAAGATAGGAGGGATTAGGATAGCACAAAGGCCTAAACAAGTAGTTAGCAAGTTGAGGAGGAGTATGGAAAGGGCGGCAGGTTGGGATGATAACTGTCACTTGGCGTTGGAAGAAATGCAATAATATATGAAGCACTTAGCACAGTACAATGATTTATAGTAAGCATTAGGTACATTTGCTGTTCTAGGGTATAAATTGTGAATTCCATCCTCTTTAAGTATGCAGTTTTCTGAGGTTTGCATAATTTATTTTCTTATTAAATTTTACACATTAAAAGCCATAATCAATGTACTTAGAAAATCTATACAGTAGTTCAACCTATGCCTATTAGACTAGCTATTGCAAAATAATCATGTATAATCAGTTTGAACCAGAGTCATTAAGAAGTCATCAAAATCGAATTTCCTAAGTTGAGTCTGCCTATTTTATTTGATTGTACTAATACTTATTCTTCCCTCTCTATTTTAGAGTATGCGGTTGAAATTGATTGCAAATAATACAACAGTGGAACGGAGGTTTAGTTCATGGATCGGTGGCTCCATTCTAGCTTCTTTGGTTAGTAAACTACTTTGCAAAATACTTAAAAATTCTTATTGAATGATTTAACTTAAAGGTACCACTGAAAATACTAAATTTAGTAAAAACTAAAAATAATTCCAGTATATCATTTATCTTTGCATGTTATAACTATCAAATGAGTAGAGGACCTAATACCACCTTTACATGTTCTAATATAACAAAATACTCCATTGCCTTATTAGTGGATATTTGTCAGCCTAATTTCAATTTCTTCTCTCAAACAGAGATGGGAATTTGTTATCTTATTCATGCCTTTTCTAATAATACTCCCATTGGCACTGGTCATGACTTATTTGCAGCACATTTAAAATTAAATCATTCCTTCTCGGGTTCTGGTTGCTCCCTGGCCTGTTGGTGAGGTAGAGCAAGTCAGGAATTGGTTCTTGGGGCCAATGGTGAAGTCATGGTGCTGGGTTTTGCATGTTGCTTAGACTGGTGCCTGCCTTGAACTTGGAGAAAAAGTCCTTATCCTTATCTGCACCCTAGACTCGGAGAATTCCCCCCTCACCTCAGCGCAGCCAAAGTAAATGTCACCAAGTACTTATGCTAAACATTTTTAAGCTATTATGTTTGTAACTGTCCGTTTATATATTTCTTGTCTATGTTCTATTTCCAGTCTTTTAATAGATCTTAGATCAAAACTGGATACCATGTATGAATCCACTTGAATAATGATAAGGAATGGATTTCTCCTGCTTACACGTCTTATTATTAATGTGGCCCAGGTTCCTTCCTCCCTTCACCTTCTATGTTTATTGGGTATAGTGCTTGTGTCCTATTGTGTATTAATGTGGCCCAGGTCACTTCCCTCCTTTCACCTTCTATGTTTATTGGGTATAGTGATTGTGTACTATCGTGTGTACTTGCAAAACTTTACCCCAGTTCTGATGAGCACTTTTGAGATCTAAATGTTACCATTAATCAAGTGCTAGAACATCTCTTCACCTGTGTACGAGGCTCAAGCCTTCCAACAATTTCTATTATTGCCTTAAGGTTGGCACCAAGCCACCCTAGCCAAACCCTCCGTCTTCCTTTCACAGCCATTTTCTAAATCCTCATGACAGTGTAATGGGTATAGAAAGATTTAATATTCTTTCTGACCTTAGGCAAGACTGAATACAGATGGTCCCCAACTTAAGGATGGTTCGACTTAACGAGTTTTCCACTTTACCGTGGTGCGAGAGCGATATGCATTCAGTAGAAACTGTACTTTGAAGGTGATCTTTTTCTGGGTTTGCAGTATGCTGTATGATACTCTCTTGTGATGCTGGGCAGTGGCTGTGGCAGCTCCCAGTCAGCCAATCACGGGGCTAAACAACTGATAAACTTCCAACCATTCTCTTCTTCACTTTCAGTACAGTATTCAGTAAATTACATGAGATATTCAACACTTTATTATAAAATACTTTGTTAGATGATTTTGCCCAACTGTAGGCTAATGTAAGTCTTCTGAGCTTTGTTAGGGTAGGTTAGGCTAAGCTATGATGTTAGGCAGGTTAGGTGTATTAAATGCAGTTTTGACTTAGAGTATTTTCAACTTAGGACAGGTTTATTGGGGCGTAACCACGTCGTAAGTTGAGGAAGATCAGTAGGAGGAGGGCAGAAATAAGGGGTAATGGATTACTATTTTGAGGGAGGGGTTGAAGAGTTCTTCAAAGGTTAGGAGTTGTAAAAATAAAGACATTAAAAAAGTATTTTCTGGGGCCAGCCTGGTGGTGTAGCAGTTAAGTTCATGTGTTCTGCTTTGGTGGCCGGGGGTTCACCGGTTTGGATCCTGGGCACAGACCTACTCACTGCTCATCAAGCCATGCTGAGGTGGCGTCCCACATAGAAGAGCTACAACTCTCACAACTGTGATACACAACTGTGTACTGGGGCTTTGGGGAGAAAAAAGAAAAAGGAAGAGTGGAAACAGATGTTAGCACAGGGCCAATCTTCCTCAAAAAAAAAAAAAAAGTTATTTTCTAATAAAAAAGCACAATTATATAATTTTTCTTTCCATTTTGCAGGGCACCTTTCAGCAGATGTGGATTTCCAAACAAGAATATGAAGAAGGAGGGAAGCAGTGTGTAGAAAGGAAATGCCCTTGAAAAGAGTTCCCAAACCCCTACCTTCCTGTGTCACCTTACGTTTCATAGCTTTAGTATACTCAGGAAAAGAATGACCATCTTTTATAGAATGTTTATACATTTTTGCATATTTCAATTTCCACTTAAATTTTTTAAGGCTTTAACTGGCTCTATAAATTAAAATAAGTTTGTGCTTTCCTTGAAATGCACTTATTCTTATTACAAGCATTTTATAATTTTGTATAAATATCTATTTTCTCTAAATATTTTGCTTTCAGTAAAATGCTTTCCAACTCTCTTTAGTATATTAATTACCAGTGGATTGGTAGAATTGCTTTTTATTGACTAGTAAAACTTACTGCCTATGCTTTTTACCTTAGGCTTGCAAAATTAAATAAAAATTACTAGCCATTCCAGAAATACTTTTTTGGACTGTTGTGTGTTGTGACTTGCTACTTTAAGTACTAAATGTATTTATCATTATTTTGAGTGAAAGTACTTACTATTTATTAACAGTAGTATCCAAACCCCCTTCATAGCCTATTAACAATAGTAGTTAAAATGCTACCTGAATTCCAAAAACTATCCTATTGCCTTTGCTGTAGCAGTTGACATCACTTCCTCATTCTAAGATACAGGTAATAATAAAGTCTAATTAGATGTCAGAATTTACAAAATGGGAATTTAATCTGAACTTTATACCTGGTTTTTAAAAAAATTTGGTAGAAGCGTGACCACTTCCAGAATTTGCATGTCATATTAACATTTAAAACAGTTGATAATCATTTGACTAAAAACACAATTTCCTTATAAACCACTTAATATATATTTACTTTTGTATATAGACTGTTATCCAAGAAAAACCAAATGGTAAATTAAGAGTTCAGACATCTTAGACAAGACTTGACTTCTGGGCTTTAGAAAGATGTGGAAACTTTTCCTGAAGAAATTGTTCTTTCTTTTTCTCTAAACTTTTCTTCCTTGCTTCGATGCGGGCTTGTTTCTCAAGTCTCAGTCTAGAATAATAAAAGCATGACAGCAATTTTATAAAACTATTTCCGTTACTCAATACTATCAAAATATGTACAAATCAGTTACATAAAGGCCTCATGCCAGTCTTTGTATTAGGTGTGTCATGGACATTATTAACCTTGAACAATCACTGTAATCTACACAAGTCAAAGATAAATGTGAAATCAAAAGCATCTGTATGCCTACACCAGTTCTCCTTCCCATCTCCTGACTGGAAAGAATGAACAGATCTTGTGAGCCCATAACAGACTGTCCTACGTTTCTACCTTATTTTAGAAACACTGTAATTTTATTGACTACATTAGATTTTTTACATCCTGAGATATAGCCTAAGACTTTTAGGAGTTGTCTAATTTCAAACAGCCTTTAGTCTAGCACATCATTTCCCCTACAACAGAGAGAATAAAGCCATGCTAAGAGAAGAGCTTAGGTGCTGGGGCAGACCCGCCACTCTGAGTGAGTTTGCTTCTATCCATCAGCATCCCACAGCAGGAGGCATTTCTGCCTCAGCTAAATTATGCTGACCTCTGGGGCCACTCAGGAATCATCAAAATTGCAAATGATAAATTCATGGATGCCAAGCTTATACTGTACTTAAGTTGATATTTTTCAGGATATTTTATTGGTCAGTAGGTATAAGTTTATGTAAAATATAACAATACAATAAAGAGACACGTAATATGCCAGTGCTATGGGGGAGATACAGAAATTTCAGATGAGAGTTAAATTCAGGTGAAGACTAAAATATGTGTATATACAAAAAATATAAGCTACTTTGTAAATTAAGTAAAAAGTAAGACTAAACAAATGTGAAATCATTACCCAGTCTATTCATCAGCCTTTCCTCCAACTAAATTTTGGTCATTTATAAAAAATAAACCCATATGAAAGAAGAAAGGTTTGCTATTTTTAAAACTATTCAGAAGATTATGCTACATGCTCTGAAGGCTTAAAACGGTAGAATTAGAATACGTATAAGGCCTCTAAAAGTGGCACTGGATTCATAAATTCTCATGCGTTATTGTGAAAGGCATGATATTTGTAGCTTCACCTTATATGACTAAGGGGACAAAAGGATCAAATGGCACAGTAGGCTTGGAGAAAGCAAAAAAACAGCCAGTGCAGTTAGACTTCTTCAACTGCTTAGCATCTGAACTGGGCCTTAAAATGTGACTAGGTGGAGAGATTTCAAAGCTGTAGGAACGGGAGCAGTGAGAGGGGAAAATGAGCAAGTTAAGTTTAGGAAACAAGGAGAAAGGTCTGACTTTGATGAAGGATAAGTAGCTAAGACTACATTGTGGGAACACTGGGTGGCAAGGAGTCTGGATTTTCTTCTGTAGACAAGAAGCTACTGTATGTTTTTAACAGGGGTGATGTGATAAAGATGTTTGAGGAAAATTAGCCAGGAAGCAATACTTGAATGGACTGGAGTGAGGAAGATGTTCAATAATTCAACTTGACAAGGAGGGATTGCACTAGGGCGGAGACAGTGGGAGCAGAAAGGACAGATCCTGGAGACATTCAGCAGGAAGAATTAAATTAAGGATTGACTGAATCTAGAGCACTGGTGATGAAAAAGATGACTGACATTTAGTGCCCATGTAAAATGGATATACTATAGATAAAGGGGCTCTGGACCCAATTCCACTGGAGGGGCGGTTCCCACACCACCACCAGCAGGGTGTCTGAGAATTCAATTCTGACACTATCTACCTAGAGATAGCGTCAGAAGTAGTCACCTGTGCTTCTGATCAACCCGCTACAGATTGGGGGTTCCCACAACTCCCTCCTTGGACTTCAGACACCAGCCAAAAGTCCAGGTTGTTACCTGTACTTCTGACTGACTGGCTATAAATCTGGGGTTCCCACTACCCGCTCCTTGGATTCGATTAATTTGCTAGAGCGGCTCACAAAACTCAGGAAACCCATTTACTCACTAGATTACAGTTATTATAAAAGGACGTAACTCAGGAACAGCCAGACAGAAGAGTTGCAAAGGGCAAGGTATGGGGTAAGGGTGTGAAGCTTCCATGCCCTCTCCAGGCGTGCCATTCTCCCAAAATCTCCACATGGTCACCAACCTGGAAGCTCTATGGACTTGGTCCTCTTGGGTGTTTATGGAGGCCTCGTTACATAAAGCATGATTGGTAAATCATTGGCCACTGGCAGTTGATTCAACCTTCAGCCCCTCCTCTCCCCAGAAATGGGGGGTGGGGCTAAAAGCTCCAACCTTCTATTAAAGGAGGGTTCCCCTGGCACCAGCTCCATCCTTCAGGGCTTTCCAAAAGCCACATCATTAATGTAACAAAAGACATCTTTTTTGTTTGTTTGGTTTTGCTTTCATCACTTAGGACATTCCAAGGGTTTTAGGAGCTCTATGCCAGAAATGGGGACAAAGACCAAATGAATCACATCACAACAGATGAAACTGGAACTGAGGAGAGGTAGCTGCTTTGGTGGGGAAGATGAAAAATTGGAACTGTGATATTCAAGTATACTGCTTAAAGCTCAGTCTAAAGATATATTCCATTCCTGTTTAAGTTTTTTTTAAAAGTGTTTTTGGTTTTGAAACAAGCTTTTGGGGGAGAAAATCAGTTTTTAAAGACCTCTTGCTGATGGTATTATCAAGGCAGTTGTTAAAAGCTGTGGTTCTTGTGCTGCTAGTTTCCAGCTGCTTTCCAGCCTCCAATTCTGATCTCTAGCACCTTCTAGCAAGTAACCCTGCAGTTTCCCCACCCCGTTTCTTCTGCAGCCACAGCCCCAGGAGCTGAGCAGCACCCTCACCCCAGAAACCACCAACTTGCAGTTCTTTTCCCTTCCAATTGCAGTTTTTGGGGATTAAACTCTCCTTTGGCTTCTGTCTGCTTCTGGATGTGGAGCTAGTGTTTTAAAATAGTTGTTTTTTAAAAATCTTATTTTGTTTTTATAACTATTTGCCAGGGGTTCATGGGACCACTTCATTCCTCTACTATAACAGAAGCCCTGTGTTCTCCCTATTCAATAATAAACAATGCAGAAAAAAAATTGCTGTAGAAAATATTTGGAAATCACCATTCTGCAGGGTAACATGAATTCAAATACAACGCAACAGGCTCCTCTCCTCACCCGAGCCCCTTTTCATTTCATCAACCTTGCAATAACGAGAGCTCACGTTTTGGGCAACTGAGGTATCTGGACCTTCCTTTTACATTACAGAAGGATTTAACCATCTACTTACATATAGATTGATGAATATAAAGGCAACGAAATTTTTGAAAGGATATACAGTAGAATGTTAACAGTAGCTATTTCTGGATGGTGAGATTAAGACTTTAATTTCTTCTTTTTTACCTGATTTTTCTGTTTTTTCCACAATGAACATGTATTACATATGTAAAAGCTTAACACGTTATCTATCTGATGTAAAGATGTTTCATTATTAAGGGTACTTGTGCTCACCTGGTAAAACGTTCCACATAGGGCATCGCAAAGAATCGTTTCCTATTGTATCTTTTATTTAGGTACCAAGGTATAGGCCACTGCTTGAACTTGTGCCTGCCAAGAAAGCAAAGGTATCACCTTATAAGAAACATTACAACATCACTTTTCACAGAGTTTTAGCCTTCTTTGGACTAAATATGTTTTCAATAAAATGAGATGTAATTGGCTTTTTAAAGATTTTTATAGTTTTAAATTATAAAATATTCTAAACTTAGAGAAATGTATGTATAACATAAGACACTCATGAACCTACTGCAAAATTGCAGACATTAGTATTCTGCAATGTTTGCTTTGGATCACCCTTTTAAAATATATATATGTTTAAAGACACAGCTTTAGTTCTCTACTTCCACAATAGCTCCTAGCCATAAAAGAAGCGTATCATTACCAGATCTATTTTGTACTTTTACTACCTAAATATATATGTGTGTGTACTAATTTTATGTATGTACACATACACATGTATATACACACATATAATTTGATATATATGTAATATGATAGTATGTTTTATGTTTTTAAAATGTAAATAAATTGTATCAACTGAGATATCTATATCTCAACATAACAAAACCTAAAAAATCATTATGTTGAGTGGGAAAAAAGGAAATTGTGAATTCACACTATAATGTTTATTTGAAAATATCTCAATTAAAAAAGTAACAGGAGGATTAATTTCAGGCCATTTAACTAATCGTTTCTAAAAATCCAGAATCAATCTGTTATATTAGAAGCTTAAGTTCAAATCTCTTTGTAATTTTGGCTTTTAGCATATAATTTGACAGTGCCACAAGAGGTGTGGACTGCTGCTTTAGGCAGAACAGCTAACAGTATTGTGTTTCCCGCAGCTCATCAGGGTGACAGTCTACTACCGTTCCTCAACAGCCAAGGCAATGACACATCCAAAAAGTAATCTCTGACATTACTGCCACATGTTCCTTTTTTTTTTTTTTTTGGTGAGGAAGACTAGCCCTGAGCTAACATCTATTGCCAATCCTCCTCCTTGTTTTTCCCTTTTTCTCCCTAAAGCCCCAGTAGATAGTTGTATGTTGTAGTTGCACGTCCTCCCAGTTGCTGTATGTGGGATGCCGCTCCAGCATGGCTGGACAAGTGGTGCGTTGGTGCGCACCCGGGATCCGAACCTGGGCCGCCAGTAGCAGAGCGCACGCACTCAACCGCCAAGCCACGGGGCCGGCCCCCCACATGATCTTTTTGACAGAAAAAAAAAATGCAGATGTAATGTTTTTAAGAAGGAGCTCTGCATTTAAAAGGCTATCTTAAATATTTTAACATGCAACAGAAAATTAGGGAAAAGGCACTGGAATTATGTTTGAGTTAACAGACTACATTGGAAAGATGATATAATTGCTGTATTCACTACTTTGTTTAGCTCTGGAAAAGTTAAAAAGTAAAATAAAAAAAACCTTGAAGAGATTAGCACACTTACAGATTCTAAAACTGACATAGATTCTCTTCCCTATCCCCACCCTGTCCTAACTGACCTCAACTGGATTAATCCAAATAAAAATTAGTAGCAAATAAAATAGATCAAAGTTTTTAGTCATGTTTTGGCAATTTCTCTCTCTTCTGTATTGGATTACATGGTTACAGACAGCATGACTACTCCTTTAAATCTGGCTCCAAGCAGCCCCATTATCGCAAACTCCATTAAAAGAACCTAATGAATGGGGCCGGCCCGGTGACATAGTGATGAAGTTTGCATGCTCCCCTTGGGCGGCCAGGGGTTTGCGGGTTCGGATCCCGGGTGCAGACCTACACATCGCTCATCACGCCATGCTGTGGCAGGCGTCCCACATAAAGTAGAGGAAGATGGGCACAGACATTAGCTCAGGGCCAATCTTCCTCAGAAAAAAGAGGGGGATTGGCAGCGGATGTTAGCTCAGGGCTAACCTTCCTCACACACACACAAAAAGAACCTATCGAATGAGTAAGCGTTATTATGTGATATAATTTCAGGAGTACTGGGATGGTCTCCAACCACCCAAAATGCCTTCCCATTTTGTCGACCAATGCTTAAAATTGTACTAACGATGCTTCCTTTTGGTAGCTCAACCCAAATGTAAATAAACCCCTGGAGGAGAAACTGCACTGAGTCTTCTCAATTACTGTACCTCAGTGTGAAAGTTTATCATTAGATGCTTTCCCAAGGTCTGACAGGACTTTGGGAACTGGACCTGGGGGCCAAGATGTCACAAAAGGTGGAAAGGTATAATGAAAATAAACTGTTTCAAAATTTGGACTAGGTCTTATCCTGACGGCAATGGGAGCAAACTGAGACTGGTTCATGTGTCCTTATTCCTCAAGAACTTCTTTTTTAATAGTCCCAGGTTCTTAATTGTCCCAGGCAAAGAGGACAGGTGTGTATCCTAAAGTTAGCTTCATGGGATTTATAACCTTCTGAAATTATATGTGCACGAGTACATTTTTCTGGGGAAAGGATCTATAACTTTCATCAGATTCTCAAAAGGTCAAATGATTCACATAAGATTATGAACCATTGTTATAAAGAACCTAAAGTGAAAGGAATCATGGGCATGGGATGGATGCCTGGACTACCAGATAAAGCTACCTTCTTTCATATCCTGGAGTTCCAAAGGGGTCTAAGGACTGTGTTTATATTAGATACACCTCTAATATATCTAAAATATCTCATATGGTGAGAGTTTTCTTAAAAGCTATTGGACAAGAGAATGAGGCATGGGATGTCTACTCTCATCTTAGAAAAGCCACAGTGTAATCTATGTACCAGATGATTCTTCCAAAGATGTCTCTTCTCCAAGCACCAGGTCTAGCCTTTTCTTGACCAGTCTGAAGAAGTCTCAGGGCATCTTCTCTTTCCTGGACAACTTTATCTAATGCATCCATGGAATCTACTACCTGAGAAGAGAACAGGAAGATATAATTTCAATGATCACCTACAACAGAATTTCAAAGAAAGGGAACACATAAAGACTATGCTGTAGAAAACCTATGATGAATATTTTTATCCGAGAACCATTCCATCAAATATTTCCTAAAAATCTTTTTGGCACACGTATGCATAAATGGGTATCTGTACTATCACTTTTTGTAATTTTTAAAAAGCTTAGTTTCATTTAAATGAAAATCTATTTCTCTCAGATTTCCATGTATTAGTTTTGACTGGGATACACCTGCACAGGTTCCTTTTGTTGATCCAATTTGACTCATGTCATTTCAAAACTCAATGAGCTATTAGAAGTGATAACAGTTTGCTACTTTTAAATATTAAAACCCATGTTTTGGCTTCAACTAATCAGTGGGTCCCTGACATGCAGACACAGACATTTTGACCTGCTTGGCAGCTGTTGCTATTGCAAGGAATGGAGTGTTAGTCTATCCTGGTACTAGAGTAATCTCCAAAGATCCATCAAGATGCAAAAAGATACTATTAGAACTTCTAGTTATTATTGCCGTCTTTTAACATTTCTATTGTGTTTTATATAGTATATAATAATATATTGGTAGCGCAATATATATATTTTTATAAATAAATATTCATATGTTGGGGATTGTAATGACAGATGAGCTAAATTTTTTCATAGTTCTAAATACTAAGAGCCATTTTTAGGTGGTTATGTGTATTATCTTTGAGCATGATAACAGACATGAAGTACTGCATATGCACATTTGTTTCTTATAACAAGCCTCAAAAAAAAAAGAGGGCAGATTAGATTATAAAGATAATCTCCCAGGTAGCTGTGAGACCCAAATGAAATGTGAAAGCCACAGATTTAGATAAACTACCTCATAACTGGTATATTCAGCTTACACTCAGCACTTCTGCTATCCCCAACTTCACTCACTCCCACACTGAGGAGCTGAATCCACATGGACTTCCTCTCAACTATATGAATTTCTACAAAATCCTTGAGAAATAAAACATGAGTAAGAATGACAAATCCTATTTTGAAGACAGACAAACTTAGGAGCACAAAGGAACCACACCAGTAAGGGTCTAACGCAAAGCTCTCTAACCCTCAGGACCTTAGTAATTAGTAAACCTGGCTGCTGACCGACTACATTCAAGAGTTTGCCCAAGCAAGGTCAGGGCCAAGGCTCCTAACCAAAGTCGAGTGTTGGCTCACAAAGATAGCAAGTAAATGCCTACAGAGTCCACAGAGTTAATATCCAATTACCCATGTTCACGCCAACAGACAGGAAGGAAAAGCGGAAGTATCAATTAGATACACCTTAGTCAAAACAGGCCAACCTCAAAGGGCTTTCTTTTCTGGTTTATAACTTTCCCAGAGCCAAGAGTGTCCTTACACAGTTCTAAAGCTTTAATTTATACCTTAAATTGAGAATAATTCTTTTTTGATTTTTTCTTGATGAATTTTCCTTAGTAGTATGTCACAAAACACTAGGAAAACTGTATAAATTTGAGGTTTTTTAAAAAAAATTATGGTCACTTTCAGTTTACCTGGAGAAAATTTTTATTATTTTGGATTCTACTAATTCAGAAAGTACAGTACATACGACCTTTTGGGCTGAAGTTCACCTCTGAATATATTTTTTAAAGCAGGGAGGGGGATAATTTATTATTGAAGTTTAAGTCTTATAACAGCACAATCCTAGCAACAGCTTTTTCATCAAATAAACAATGTCCTATTTGTAAACAGTCAGTGCACTTAAAAGAGTCTCTAAAACATAACTTTCCTTAACAGCAGAGGTAGCAAATATACCTGAAAATAAAATCATATTACTTTACAAATGTTATGTAGCCATGAAGACACCTACCGCCCAGATCTTAGTTTCTAAACATACCATTCTCCATTAAAAGGAATCAGGGTTCCTCTGTAAAATGGCTGATTCCAGGGCTGGGGCAGGAAAAGTACAAGATGAATCCAGAACATCTTGCTGTGCCTCATCAAAGAATGAGGACACAGGGGCCAGTTTGAAGGAACCCACACTGGCCAAATCTGGAATGATGATATTAAAGGATCATAATGCATTGAATAAGACTGGAATCCATGAGAAGGAAGGAAGGAAGGGAAGGGAGGTAGGGAAGGGAGGTAAGGAAGGAGGGAAGGAAGGAAGGAAGGAAGGAAAGAAGGAAGGAAGGAATAGGGAGAAGGGAGAGCTCTTCCTTCCATAGGAAAGCTAACTAATAAATGTAGAATGAATGATAGGATTAGAAAATCACCACTTAGCAAACATCATAGTAATAATTGATTCAAGCAAGAATCATCAATGGATGCTAAAACTAGTGAGTGAAAGTTTGAGGGGTTACAGGATATTTACACGATCTCCATACAAAGAAAAATGAGTAACTACACAGTAGAGAAACGTGACACTAACCAAATCATTAACGCTAACAACATCAGTAAGAGAGCAAATCCACATCCCCTGCCTCCTAATATGATGCACTGTGAAGAATACAGCATCACATCTAAGATATTCCTGTGAGTCTCATGATTATCGTGAGAAACATCATACAAACCCAAATTGGCCTATACTCTTCAGAAATGTCAATGTCATCAAGTACAAAAAAAGACTGAGTATCCAGATTAAAGGAGACTAAAGAGACCTAACAACTGAAAATCTGTGATCCAGGATTTTCTTTTACTATAAAGGACACTGTTGGGATAACTGATAAAATCTGAATAAGATCTGTAGATTAGACAGTAGTATTGTATCAATGCTAATTTCTTTTTTTCTTTCTTTCTTTCTTTTTTTTGTTGTGAGGAAGATTGGCCCTGAGCTAACATCTGCCAATCCTCCTCTTTTTGCTGAGGAAGACTGGCCCTGGGCTAACATCCACGCCCATCTTCCTCCACTTTATATGGGACGCCGCCACAGCACGGCTTGACAAGCGGTACGTCAGTGCGCGCCCAGGATCTGAACCGGCGAACTCTGGGCCGCCGTAGCGGAGCACGCGCACTTAACCGCTTGTGCCACTGGGCCGGCCCCTCAATGCTAATTTCTTGATTTTGAAAATTGTACGGTGGATATGCAAGGAAATATCCTTATTTTTTGGCAACATACACATAGTATTTATGGATAAAGGGATATCGTGTATATAATTTACTCTCAAACAGCTGAGGAAAAAAATGTGCTTATGTAGAGAAGGAAGGAGAGAAGGGTAAAGCAAATACGGTAAAATATTCACATGGGGCATCTGGGCAAAGGGTATCTCTGTGTACTATTCTCATAGCTTTTCTGTCATTCTCATGTTATGTCAAAATAAAGTTTAAAAAACCAACAATGTTATGTAACTCAATTATCACTAAGTCAGAATAACCTCCATAATCAGGGTAAATAATTGAGATTTTATTCCAAACTCTCTTTGACTCTCTCCAGGGGTATCAGGTCCCTCCCTCTTAGAGGCAGTGTGGCAACAATGGTTGTGAGTAGCGTGGGGAAAGAAAACTGAAGCAGCTGAGGTCAGGCAGCAAGACTAAAGCTATTACAAAAAGCTGAATTCTGTTCTCACTGACTACTTACTACGGCACAGAAAAATCAATGGAGAGTTGACCTTGAAAGCAACCTAGGAAAAAAACTGATAAACCTAACTAAATAAAACATAAAAATTCTATGGAAGAAATATCTTAAACATGTACAGCCATGAAAAAAAAAAGGCAGATCTACATATACTGATATGGAAAAATATCCAGGATATACCAGGTAAGTGGAAAATGCAAGTTTCAGAAGAGTACAGCCAGTACACACAAATTTGTGTAAGTAAGAATTAGGCACACTTCCACATGCAGAGAAAACTTCTGATGAATAAAGGAAACACGTATGATTGATTACTTCTAGGAGTGGAAATAAGGATTTTTTTAACCATGGAGGAAAGCTAATTTAAAAAAGAGTTAACCTCTGGGGCCGGCCCAGTGGCATAAGTTTGCATGCTCTGCTTCGGCAGTCCGGGGTTTGCAGGTTTGAATCCCTGGTGCAGACTGACGCACCATTCATCAAGACGTGCTGTGGCAGCATCCCACATACAAAATGGAGGAAGATGGGTACAGATGATAGCTCAGAGCCAATCTTCTTCAGCAAAAAACAAAAGTTGACCTTTTCACAACAATGTGAATATACTTCACAATACTGAACTACACATTTAAAATGGTTAAGATGGTAAATTTTATGTTATGTGTTTTTTACCACAATAAAAAAACAATGCATAAAAAAACTTGACCTAATTGATGAGGAAGTGGCTAAACTAGAACTAGAAATGTAAAATAGTGTAGCTACTTTAGAAAACTGCTGGGTTGTTTCCTAAAACATTAAACATAGATTGACCACAGGACCCAGCAATTTCACTCCTAGGTATCTCTACCCGAGAGAAATGAAAACACACGTCCACACATGTTGGGGGCTGCAGGTAGGGAGGGATGGGGAGTGACTGCACATGGGCATGAGATTTCTTTTTGGGGTGATGAAAATGCTTTAAAATTAGATAGCAGTGATGGCTGCACAACTCTGTAAATTTACTAAAAATCAAGAAGAAATAGACAAAAAATCTACATGACAAGAAATATAGGAACCATACACTTCCACCTTTTAGCTTTTAGACAATAGTCTCCAGCATCCCACATGTCTTACCTTTTCTAACCGCTCCGGACTTGGCATTGGCAATCTCTGCCGCTTGGCCTCCTGCTCTAGAGTTAGAAGCATGTTTCTTTCTTTCAGTAGGACATACCTATAACAAAGAACATGAACCTTGTGATACTATTCTGCGGCTATATTAATGAAGTTGTGATTTTTTTTTTTTTTTTTTGTGAGGAGATCAGCCCTGTCCTAACATCTGCCAATCCTCCTCTTTTCTTGCTGAGGAAGACTGGCCCTGGGCTAACATCTGTGCCCAT